GGGGGGCGTTGCCGCTGTTTGTGCTTTTGCGGGGCGAGCCGCGGTACCGTCGGCGTTACGCGATGCTGGGGGTAACCGGCCGTTTACTGCTGCTACGCGTTACTTAGCGTGTGGTATTTCGGATCTTAGAGATGTAAAATGCGGTGTTAAGGATCAGGCAGGATTTGAGGAGTTCACTGCTTTTTCTGTTTTTATTCACGTGTTCAGCAGCAGCACCGAGGGGCACAAATCATTTTCATGTATGCAAAAATAATTTCGAAAATGGTATTAGTCTCAGCAGGTGAGGCCTTTTGTTTCTTCCATGTTTATGTACAAATTCCTAGGGAACACTAAATATTAAATTGAAATAACCCTCCCTTATTATTACACAGCTATGGATTCAATTTAATTCTCTTCAGATAAGGTTTTTCTGGACACATATTTGCAATCGCCTGTCCTGTAAGCACAGTTCAGGCTGCAGCCCGTGGCTCGTTCCCGCCCGCCTTTTCGGCAGGAGAGGCACAGTATTTCTGTGCTTTCGGATCTTTTGGATGCAGGCACTTCCCTTCTCATTCTCATTATGTTTATGGATTACAAGAGTGCTGTAAGATGTCCCCCTTCCCCCTTTAACCGGACAGAGAAATGGGTTAATCTCTCCACAGAGCCATTCCTCCGCTTCACCACCTGTTTCCAAATCCCAGTTGCCGAAGGAAATGAAACACAGAGCCCGGCCTGAGCCTGAAGACTGCGGGGATGGCGAAGCCCCGGTGCCCATTGCACGCAGGGGCTGAGGCTAAAAATGCAGGCTGCAAACGAGAAGGAATTTGCCGTATGGGTTTTGTTGTGGCTGGCAGACAAGGCAGCTCTTTAAATTGCGTCACCGCTGCCGATGTTTTATAGCCGCCCGGGCTTCAGCCGCTTGGTGCGAACGTACGATGCCTTCTCACGGAGAGCACAAGGACTTCTAAAACCTTCGCTCTCCTCCTCTGACAAGGTACCCTGGAGATCCAGAGGTGAGGCTATAATCAGCCAAAATTTTACATTTTATTCTTTACGCTAAGGAATTAGTCTCATTTTTATGAAAATAAATATATGGTCTAGCTCTCCTAATAAGACTGTCTCCTCTGTGTTTAAGTAATAATCATTTATTGTTTAAATACAGTAGAGGCTGTAACAAAATGCTGTCAAGAGCCATCACACTCATTAACCTGCCAGCTAATTAGCCTCCTCCTGCCTGATTGCTGACAAGTTCTTCAATCTGAACCTATCGCTGTTGTGTCAGCGCTGAAGCACCAAGTGAAGTGGAGGAGGGCTCCATTAGATGTTTGCGAACAAAGTCTGTGCATTAAAGGTTTGTTTTCTGCACTCCAACAAATGTTACAGCATTAATATTCTCAGCTATAATTAAATTGGCAACTCTTAATTATGGTAATTAGCGCATTAACCATTTCTCTCCCGGCGTCACTCCCAGGCGAAGCTGAGGAATTCAAGACGAAAGCCAAGGCGATGCCCGTCGCGCCGTGGGGCCGCTGTGCCGGGGGCTCGGAGCCTCCCCTCCCCAGGGCAGCCA